GAATGCAGCATTATTTTCTCCCACTTTTTGTACTTTGAGCTGCTTGAAGTTTTTATTGATTGTTTTGACGCAGCCGTCAACTCAAAAACCACATTTTCAGAACAGTTAATGCAGAGGCCTAGACACTGACACAGTGGTCAAAATGACACATTTTGTTTGCAAAAGGCAACAACTGTGTCAAAACATTTAAAATATGAAACAAAAGCAAATTTTGCCTTCAAACAACTCAACTTTGACACAGTGCATGAGCACCTCCAAACAATCAGTACACAATGGGCAACAAAATACAAAATACAGCACTCATGTGTCAATCAGTGATCCATTGCTTGTCTTTATAATGTAGCCTATGACTGTACGTAGCTTACATGCCAGTGCTGTTTGTAGTCCCATTTGACCTCTTGCAAAAATGCATCCAGAAGTAGAAACAGTAATTTTTGATGCAAATATTACTGATTACATTATTTTTCAGACTGTGCCTGACAAATAAAATACAGTTTTTACTGATTGCTTTGACCTRTTTGAAGAAACTCATCACCATCTCAAAAACAATCATTAAAAACTTTATTCCAATAGAGGGCACACAAAATAAATAATAAAATCCTTTACTGTGTGAGAAATTAGGTAAATAAAAACAGTCTTTTACAGTAAAGAACAAAAAACTATGGTAGTCCTTTAGATTCGACCTAATTGTCACTGTGCACAGCACAATGAAATTACAGTTCAGAACAACCATTCAGAAGAAGACAGAACATAACAAACATAGGAGAACAGGTGCTCTGGGTCATACTCCCACTGACCCTGCACAGAGCAAGGATCATCTTCATGAAGACATCATGAGGAGGTGCAACCCTCCTAAAAAAACTAAAAACCACACAAAGACAGATGAGGAAAAACAAAAACACATAACGTTACTATAAGAGTATAAGGGAACAACACAGACCTGTAGACTGATTGCAAATTGAAAAATTCTGTGAAGTGTCAAACAGGTGCTTTCGGTGTTTCATACGGACAGCTAAAAGGGAGTTTGGATTTCTTGAATGACATCTACATTAACTGTTTTGCAAAAGGGTTTAAAAGTGTGTCAATCCAATGAGAATGGGTTAACACAYTGCAAGAGGTGTCTTCTGCTCTGCTGAGATGGTGATGAGGAAGACTGAGAGGTTCCCAGTTAATTCAAACAGGTCAAACCAGTCAATAAAAACTGTAATTTATTTTTGTTCATTCCAACTTTTTAGTAATGCTTCTTGAGGCTTTTTTTAGCACTAAAGACCTTCAGGGTAAAGTTGGATGACATCACTTTACTCATCTTTTACATCATCATTTGTATTTTATGAATTATATTATTGCATTTGTCCCACAGCCCTCAGATAAATTTCCATTTTGAGTTTAGGGTTTGGGCACCCTTGATATATGTATATAAATTGAAACAGCTAGACTGATTGCAGAAACTGAGGGCACAGATTAGCCCTCAGTTTCTGCAATCAGTGCGCGTAGATTGTGTCGACAGGTTGGACGCATGGTACGTGTGGTACAATCTGTTTTGTTGTATCCGGTTTTATTGTGAAAGGCTAAACAGGAAGTGAATACTGTGAGTGCGGGGACAACTTGTTGTGTCGGGGTTAGTTGCTACAAGGTATCGCTGGAATCCTTTCCTCAGAACACAACTGTTTGAAGCAGAACACAAC